CACCCCGGTGAAAGGCGGGTCAGGGCACCTTAACCCCACAACTGGATGGGTTACCTGCTTTGTAGGGTCTAGAAGGTGGACCCCAGAGAAAGAGAGAGAATCGGGCCATAGACTCTAAACCTGTCTTGACTTCCCCCAACTGGTCCAAGCTGGGGCCAGGACCAGAAGGGTCAAAGGGCCAGGGGCCCACTGCGAGAAATGCCCAAGAGCTGAGGGCCTGGGGTTTCGACTGGCCTGGAGGTGGGCCAGGGCCAGTAAAGCCGAAGGTCCCAGGGGGACCGCACCCATAAGGGGGAAGCAGCTCAGGGAGCTATACAGCCGGGAATGAAGGCAGAATAGGCTGCCTGAATGGAGGTATCTAAGTGGGGTCCAACTAGTAGGATTCTGGGGCCCAGTGCGGGGCCGGTGATATGGATAACATCTGGATGCCATCTGCAAGGCTTGGGCTGTGGTGTAGGGGAGGAATGGAGATGCAGATAGTGCCCCTTGGCATCAGGGCAAGAAATGGGCAGCCTCCCACTTAATCAACATCAATTAATTAACAACAAGGTGTGGTGGGTGAGAAGGCGGGCAGTTAGCCCAGAAACAGGTGGGTGGGCCACAGTGAGATTGGCCCAGAAAAGGCCCCATGTTACACCACCCCTGCCTCTTTTCCCTGGATGGAAGTGAATCATCATGGTGCTCTGTGACCAGTGGTGTCCCCCAAAGGCTCCATCCTTGGACCTGTTCTTTTTAATGTCTTTGTCAATGACATGGACACTGGTGTCAGAAGTGGACCGGCCAAGTTTGCTGATGACACCAAACTTTAGGGTAGAGCATCCACACCTGAGGATAGGCTGGTGATCCAGGCTGACTTGGATAGGCTGAAAAAGTGGGCAGACACTGATGACATTCAATACCGACAAATGTAAGGTACTCCACCTTGGGGTGGGGGGGGAAACACACGGCATGCTTATAGGCTCAGCAGTACTACGTTCACTTGCACCATGGCCGAAAGAGACTTTGGGGTCATGACTGACCACAATATGAACATGAACCACCGATGTGATGTTGCAGCTGGTAAAGCAAACCAAACTCTGGCTTGCATCCATGGATGCTTCTCCAGTAAATATCAGGATGTCATCCTCCTGCTGTACTTGGCCTTGGTGAGGCCGCAGCTGGAGTACTTCATCCAATTCGGGGCTCCACAATTCAAGAAGGATGTGGAGAAGCTTGAGAGAGTCCAGTGGAGAGCCATGCTCATGATCAGAGGGCAAGAGAATAGGCCTTACGATGAGAGGCTGAGAGCCGTGGGACTCTTCAGCCTGGAAAAGCGCAGGCTCAGGGGTGACCTGGTGGCAGCCTATAAGTACATCAGGGGTGTGCATCAGGATCTGGGGGAACATCTGTGCACCAGAGCACCCCAAGGGATGACAAGTTCCAATGGTCACAAACTTCTGTACAACTGTTTTAGGCTGGACATAAGGAAAAACTGCTTTTCTGTCTGAGCGCCCTGTCCGGAGGTGATGTGACTCCACCAGATTGTTGTTTGAGACATTAAGTGACATGGCTACCTGTGAGTGACATTCAGTGATGCAGTGGCGGAGGAATGCGACCTTTATATGCACCATCATGCGGATAGTGCGTGATCGCTTATAGCCTAACCAATCAGGAGTTACCCCTAGAGCATGACTGGCCGGACCAGCATGCTGAGGCCTCCAGAGTGTTCCATCAAGGGGGATCAGATCTAAAAGACAGCCTGATCACCTGTCTTGCCGTCTGGACAGACCCCTAGGCTTCTAGCTAGATTTCTAGCATAGGCTGCTATAGCTTATAGTTAGACCACACGCAATCCGGAATGCCCTGTGTGTTGCCCAACTAGGCACCATACTTGTATTATTATTACTTTCGGCTGCAGTCAACCTTCATGACTACACCTTACTTGTCACTCACCGCTACCCATCATTCGTTCATTTTTCTACCTGCACCACGTCGTCTGTGTCCACCTGCTACTGTAAATAGTCCTTGTAATTAGTTCCTGTATTCATCAAGTTACTGCAACTTGTTAATCATCTGGTTGGCTTGTAAGTAAATTTATAAATACCATTTGTCTCAGTATCGCGCTCTTTTTCCCTCTCTCTTACACCTGGCATCCCCGAGCGCGTCTGGGTTGGTGTCACTACCCAGTGCCCCACTCGACATGCAACTGCGGCCGTTTCCCAAGCACTATCCGGGAATTGTGGCCCACACGCCCAAGGCCTGGAATAGGCTCCCTCCAGAGGTGGTGCAAGCACCTACTCTGGATTCCTTTAAGAAGCATTGGACACTTATCTTGCTGGGATCCAGTGCCCCTAGCTGACTTCCTGCCCTTGGGGCGGGGGACAGACTCGATGATCTCCCAAGGTCCCTTCCAGCTCTAATGTCTATGAAATCTATCTAATGCAAGGGTGGACAAAACCTGGCCTGAAGACCTGATCCAGCCACCAAAGGATTTTATCTGAAGCATGGTCAATCCTTTGGCCCTGCCCTGCCCAGGTGTTGGGGGCAACCTGGGCATGCAGCATGGCTGGAGTGGTGTGGGGAGTGGACTCCACTTCCATGCAGCCCTGGTGGCAATGGCTGCTTCTGGCTGTTGCTGTAAGGGTCACTGCTGCTGCTGGACCTGGCCCTGCTGCCTGGCCTGTCTGCTCTGCACCCACCACCAGGCACTGGATGGAGCAGGTGGGCAAGGGGGTGGGGTGTCCATGGAGACCAGCCCAATACCTTCATGGGCAAGGTGCACTCAGCTGGGTGGATAACATGGAGCCACAGGAAGGTGGGGACCAGTGTCTGGGAGTGGGACACGTGGGTGGGTCCAGGGCTGAGGCCAAGGCTGGGATCACAGGACAGTGATGGCGCAGGGCCAGGGCCTGGGGCAGAACCAAGATACATTGCCCACATGACCCTGCAATGGGTGCCAGATCTGTAGAAAGGGGCATGCGGGGAGCAGATTAAGGCTCTGCCCTGGGCCCTGACCCCATGGTGTCACCATCCATGATACCAGCCCAGGCCCCAGCTCCAACTCTGGCCGCACCTGCCTTCCCATCCTGTTCCTGGATGCTGCTCCCCACCCATCAGTGGCCCCATCCCACCTGTCCAGCCAAGCATGCCCTGCCTGCAGGGGTCTCCAACCAATCTCCAGGGAGACCACAGGGCTGGGGCTAGGATTGCTGGGTAGTGACAACATGGGGTCAGGGCCTGGGGCAGAGCTGCGATCCATACCCAGATCTAGTAATTTAATACTTAGGGAGTTTTAGTGAGCTGTTGTGGGTGGAGGAGGGGATGGTGGTGCTGACCCAGACCACAACAGCTCACCAAAACTCCCTAAGTGGCCCTCCAGCTCAAATAATTGTCCACCCCAAATCTAATGTAAATAATCAAGAAGAAACAAAGCCAGTTGTTTTATATTATATGGATCTAACAAGGACATATATATGAGATTATTTCAGCAAACCAAAAATTCTAAAACTATGATTAATTTTAATTAGGAATCCTACACATTTCTTAAAAGTCCAAATTTGAGCAATTAACAAGATTGGATATATTATCCTACAGATATGCACATTGTATACAATGTTTCATAAATGTAGCAACATGGAATATTTGTTTTAAATACCAGGGGAAAAATTGGTGCTAAATGTCATATTATTCTTTTCTCCTAATTATAGCATTAGTCAATCTTAGCATTTAATTATAATAGTATATTGCAAAAACACCCACCCACACCAACACAAATAAACATCCAATAACTTTGTTTGAAAAGTCATCATGGAGATTTGGTCCCATGAGGAATGCTCTCTAAACCTGCATAATACATTAAAATCTGAGGGTACATACTTGAACTTTATATACTACAACTAAAGCTTATGATTAGGGACCTAACAAAATTGCAATTTCATGAATTGCACAGATTTTAGGGATTTCACGAAATCCAGCATTGCCCATGGAAGCAGGCAATGCTTATGAAATCTGCAAAATCTGTGGGGAAAATAAAAAGAAAACTCACTGAAAATAAAATGTTGGCTGCCCAGAGGAAGTCAGCCATCCTCAAGACACTGCAGCAGCTCACCAGGGTGCAGAAAGGGCGGGGGGCGGACGGGGACGGGACTGCCTGCTCAAAGGGCTGCCAGCAAGATGGCTGTTTCCCCTACACCTTGCTCCTGATTGGCTGCAAGGGCTGCCTATAATGTAGCTCTGGCCCTCTCCCCCAATCAGTGGGCTGGGGCTGTATGACAGTTAGCCCTCGCAGGCATTCAGCAAGAAGGGGCAGGGCTACCAGGGACCCTCAGCCAATCAGAGGTGTGAGGGGGCCTGCCACGTTCCACCCGCAGAATGGCTGTCAGGCCCCACAATCTGTCTGTGAAATTGGTGGGCAGATGCCATGAATTCACTAGGTCCCTACTCATAATAGAAATCGTGGGATGATTTATCCACCAAAGCCAGCAGCACTCAGCTGGAAGACAACTAAATGGGTATCAGCTATTTCACACATGAATGCTCCGGTCAAGAAGCTGCAAGTTTGAAATCAAAATTCAGATACACAACTGGAGCCCAGAACTAATTATAACATTCACCTTCATTCAAATTTCATGTTAAACTGATTTCGGACTGCTGAAAAAGTTTAGTTAAACATTTGTACTGGGTTTTCTTAATGTCAGAGATGAAAGTTGATTAAATGTTTGTTTTGAATGTTATGCTTTAAAGTGGATCTCAAATGCCATCCTCATTTTAGTCAAAGGATACCCTTGTGCACACATGGAATGACATTCAAGACCTAATATAAATTTGAATTTAGAAAAATAATTAATTGTGAAGGTTGCATAATAGACCTACTGGAATAAAAAACAGAATCCAATCTTTATCAACATGGGATTTTATAAGATCAAAAAAAAAAATCAAACAGGGACATCATGTATAAAATGGAAAGATTAGAGAAGGTTTCATTTTATATCTACTTGCATTGTTTTCACATTTGGTTTCAGATACATTGAACTACAGTAATACATTCCAGAGGTGACAGATCCATGGATCACTGGACTAAATGGATCAAGTTTTTCAGCAAACTGATGGTACAAAGAAGGTATTTTTTAGACATTGATCTTACCTCAGCATCCAAACTCAGCGCTAAATTAAATAAGACCCTATACAGGATTTGATAAAAGGGTGGCCAAAAAACAAACTGAAAAATCATGTCCACTTTAAGTTGGCTTCCAAACAAATCAAGACATCAGACCTCCTAGGTTTCTGAAAGTTATAGGAGACATTTTTTCCCCCTTCCTTTTAGGTAGCAGATCAGGAGACAGGTTAACCAAATTTCTAAGATCCTCACCCAATGGCATCAAACTGGCAGGCAAAAAAAATGGGTTTGCCTTCACTTCCTTTGTGGCCGGCCTGGAAGTGTAGCTGAGAATCAGGCCTCACCCACTTGCTCTTGCTTATCACATGCCAAAGCTCAGAAATTAGGCAACGTAGCCAGTTCAGTGCAGTCCTCATCATGAGCCCGGTGCTGCTCTCAGGGCCAGTGTCAAGCATACTTTGAGTCTACACTAATCTGACTACAGTGCTTAGGTTTTGGTGCATATTGAGGAAGGGCAAGGGGTCAAGGGGATTTCCTCTAAAATCTTGTTGGTTGGGAAAATAAAAGGAGTGCTATACAAAAGAGTTGAGTATGTGGGAAACTGGAGAACCATCTTGATTAATGTCCAGTGTTGTCTGGGAAATCAATACTCCCGTTATATATATCTATAAAATGAACGTGATGGTTGTCAAAGTGACCTGTGTGCTCCACTGAGGGCATTTATGGAAGGGCTCAGAAGGTTCTGCCCCCTTTTGGTCACAGTTTGTCCAGGTCTTAAAAGGTGCCTCTTGATGAATCTGAAACTCATGCTAAGCTTGGGCCTACTCACAAAAGTTAAAATACAGAATAATAATGCTAATAGCATATTGCAAGAGGATGCAAGTTCATGGCTAGGCCATCTTGAGATGGAATAATGAAGTATCTCTTCCAGCTTATCTTGCTATATTCAGGATAATTTCAGGCAGACTCTTAGCTGTCTGGTGTGTAACCATATGAAATGTCTTTCCTTGATTAATTAGTATGGTAAATATTTCTTTTGCGACTAACTCATGTTAATGTGCAGGAAGAGACATTCTCCATATCTCCATGTCTCCTCCTGATTTAGTATGTTTTTTTCTGACTGTTAATCAGTTTCTTGATATGTTTCAAACTGGATAACCTCTTGTTACTGAAGAAGGTAACTCATTTAAATTAGAAATTTCTGATAACCAGTAATGAGCAGGTTTTTCCTGTCAATTACTGCTTGGGACTGTCTCTTGATTTACACAACTATGCTTTGAAGATGCTAAATTAAGGGTATAAAAAAGCAGTAAAACAGCAAACCGCGCGTGCTTCAAGAGTGAGAAATCTCTCTAACACCAGCTGCTGATGTGCCCCACTTACTCAAGAAGCTGAAGAGAAACAGACCGCCTCTTCCCCACCTGTTTGGTGAGAAATCATCACCTTATAGCTAATTATTGGACTTCGATTTAGTTTGGGCTCACTTGACTTGATTTTAAATACTTGTAGTAAATAAAGCCTTTCTGTCACTCATCAAACGAGGTGTCATGTCAATCCCTGGGCTAGTCTGCAATCCTAGGTTTTTATTGCTAACACCTCTCCACTTTTAACTTAAAACTCCCCTCCCTTGATATCATAGAATCATAGAAAACTAGTGTTGGAAGGGACCTCAGGAGGTCATCTAGTCCAACCCCTGCTCAAAGCAGGACCATCCCCAACTAGATCATCCCAGCCAAGGCTTTGTCTAGTTGGGTCTTAAAAACCTCCAAGGATGGAGATTTCACAGTCCCTCTGGGTAACCTGTTCCAGTGTTTTACTGCCCTCCTAATAACAAAGTTTTTGCTAATATCTAACCTAAACTTCGCTTGCTGCAACTTGAGACTGTTGCTTCTTGTTCTGTAATCTGTCACCACTCAAAACAGTCCAGCTCCACCCTTTTTTGAACCCCCCTTCAGGTACTTGAAGGCTGCTATTAAGTCCTTTCCAGGTCTTCTCTTCTCTAGACTAAATAAGCCCAGTTCCCTCAGCCTGTCCTCAGAAGTCATGTGCCCCAGCCCCCTCACCATTTTCATTGCCCTCTGCTGGACTCTCTTCAATTTGTCCACATCCTTTTTGTAGTGGGGTGCCCAAAACTGAACACAGTACTCCAAATGTGGCCTCACCAGTGCTGAATAGAAAGGGAATAATCACTTTCCTTGATCTGCTGGCAATGCTTCTGCTAATGTAGCCCAGTATACTGTTAGCCTTCTTGGCAACAAGGGAACATTGTTGGATCATATTCTGTTTATTGTCCACTGTAACCCAGGTCCGTTTTCGCAGAGCTGCTGCTCAGCCAGTCAGCCCCCAGCCTGTACCAGTGCATGAGATTTTTTGAATCCCGATTGCAGGACTTTGCACTTGTCTTTATTGAACCTCATGAGATTTCTTTAGGTCCAATCCTCCAATTTGTCTAGGTCTTTCTGGACATGTCTACATGTGATACTACATTGCTGTAGCAATGTGCTACCATGACCTAGCATCCGTGGGTGTTTACATGTGACCAGCAGCTATTTTGGCATAGCAACACGCTCCCCCACTAAAGTGCACCACGACAGTGAAGTAGCTGCTAAAAATAAATGCGCGTCACACGTATGACTCAGCATGAGCTGTTACTGCACTGTGATTTAGTACTTCCTTTTGGAAGTACTAAATCACAGTGCAGTCACAACATCACCATAGCAACAATTGTAGATACACCCTTTGAATCCTAACCCTACCTTCCAGCATATCTACTACTCCCCCTAGCTTGGTGCCATCTGCAAACATATGAGACAGGGGCTCCTTTTAGGTAGTTACTAGGCTTGTCTTTGATGCCTGCAGCTTGCAGGTCCCAGCTCTTGAGGCCTGCAGTTTATAATCTGTGGCTTGCAGCCCTCTAGAGCTGCTGCCTGTGGCTCTGCAGCTATGTAATGCCACCCTTCTCAAATGAGTAAGAGAGGTTAGGGGCCCCTGTTACAGGACTTGCAAAACCATCTGTTCAGCTCATCCTCTTATGGGGTGTGTGAGCAGTTTTGACACAAGCTGTACAATGCCCAGGGAGCCACCAGCCTATGGAGTGTTCTCAGAAGATTATTTTTGCCCATTCTAAGACCCTTTTATCTGGAAAAGCAATATCATGGAACCATTGTGTAACTGAGAGCTACCATCAAGGCAACAGAAAATGGTAAACTAGTTGATTATGACTGAGATTTTTCAAAGAGTCTGAGAGAACTCGATATCTATCTCCAATTAAAACATGGTACAAACTGGGCATCTAATTTCCTAAGGACCAGTGTGCAGTTAGGTGCCAAAGTGCCTGATGCATCTTTTGCAGTTGGCTATGTGGTTGGTTTCCCAACATTGCTAATTCCAGCAAGTTGACCACATGCTATTAGCAGTGAAATGATTTGGAAATGTACCCTAATGTTTTCTTTTCATTTCATAGATTTCATAGACAGGGCTGGAAGGGACCTCAGAAGATCATCAAGTCCAGTCCCCGACCCCAGGGGCAGGAAGTCAGCTAGGGTCACAGGATCCCAGCAACATAAATGTCCAATTGACTCTTAAAGGAATCCAGAGTAGGTGCTTGCACCATCTCTGGTGGCAGTCTGTTCCAGGCCTTGGGGGCTCGGACTGTAAATAAGTTCTTCCTTATGTCCAGCCTGAAACAGTCTTGGAGAAGTTTGTGACCATTTGACCTTGTCATCCCATGGGGTGCTCTGGTGAACAGGCATTCCCCCAGATCCTGATGTACACCCCTTATATACTTATAGGCAGCCACCAGTTCCCCTTGAGCCTGCACTTTTCCAAGCTGAAAAGTCCCATGGCTTTCAACCTCTCATCATAAGGCCTGTTTTCCTGCCCTCTGATCATGTGTGTGGCTCTCCTCTGGACTCTCTCAAGCTTCTCCACATCCTTTTTAAACTGTGGAGCCCAGAACTGGATACAGTACTCCAGCTGCAGCCTCACCAAGGCTGAGTACAGCGGGAGGATGACATCTTGGGATTTGCTAGAGAAGCATCCATGGATGCAAGCCAGAGTTTTGCTCGCTTTGCCGGCTGCAACATCACATTGGTGGCTCATATTCATCTTGTGGTCAGTCATGACCCGCAAGTCCCTTTCGACCGTGGTGCTAGCAAGCATAGCACTGCCAAGCCTATAAGCATGCTGCAGGTTTTTCTTCCCACGGTGGAGTACCTTGCATTTTTCAGAGTTGAAGGCCATCAGATTTTCATCCACCCATTTTCCAAGCCTGTCAAGGCCAGCCTGGATCACCATCCTGTCCTTTTCTGACACCAATGTCCACATCATTAATGAAGATGTTGAAAAGGATAGGCCCAAGGATAGAGCCTTGGGGGACCCCACTGGTCATGGCACACCACAATGATTGACTTCTGCCAACTACTACTAAGATGATTATAGGATACCAGATTGAAAGCTTTTTTAAATTCAAGATATATAATGTCAATCTCTTCTCCCTTGTCCAGGTGGTATGTCACTTGATCGTAGAAGGAGATGAGATTGGTCAGGCAAGCCCTATCTGCAACAAACCCATGATGGCTATCCCACAAGAAGTTGCCTTCAGCCAGTTAGTCAAGAATGGTCTCTTTGATGATTTTCTCCAAGATCTTCCCGGGGATAGAGGTCAGGCTGATGGACCTGTAGTTCCCCGGATCTACTTTCCTTCCTTTCTTGAAGATAGGCACCACATTGGACTTCTTCTAATCTTCAGGCACTTTGCCTGAGCACCACGAGTTCTCAAAGATCCGTGCCAGTGGCTGAGCTATGATGCCTGCCAGCTCCTTAAGTACCCTGGGGTGTAAGCTGTCTGGGCCAGCTGACTTGAAGGTGTCCAGTCTCTCAAGGTGTTCCTTCACATGGTCAACACTGATGAAGGGTAACAGCTCTCTCTCACCCTGGCTGGCCCATACCATATTGAGCAAGGCCGTCCCTTGGGGCTGGTGAAAAACCAACACAAAATACCCATTGAGCAGGTTGGCTTTTTCCTGGGTGTCAGTTGTCAGTTGACCAATATGGTTTAGCTCGGGTGCAATGTTACCTTTGCTTTTCCTCTGGCTCCCCACATATCTAAAAAATGACTTTTTATTGTCCTTGTCCCGTGTAGCCAGCTGGAGTTCAGTTGCAGCCTTGGCTTTCCTGGTTCGCTCCCTGCAGGTCCAGACCAGTGCAGAGTACTCCTCCTTTGGGGTGGATCCAGCCTTCCATCCTTAATAGGCCTTTCTTTTTAGTCTCAGGTGGTCCACTAGTCCCCTGCAGACCCAAGGGGGCTGCTGTGCCCTTTTGCTGCCTTTCCTCCTAGACGGGATAGACATTGCTTGTGCTTTCAAGATTGCTCCCTTGAGGAGCAACCACTCTTCCTGAACTCCCCTTCACTTTGGGTCGTGGTCTCTTAGGGCCACGCCAGCAAGCCTCCTGAGCTTGTCAAAGTCAGCTTTCCTGAAGTCGAGGACTTCTGCTTTGCTGACTGGCTTGCCTGCTTTACGGCAGATGGTGAAGGCGATCAACTCATGATCACTGTCTCCCAGCTTCCCTTCGATCATTAGGTCACTGATTAAGTCATCCCTGTTGCCAGTACCAGGTTGAGCAGAGCTTTGCCTCTCATCAGTCCATAGACTTCTTGAGTCAGATAGAGCTCATCCATGCACGAGGAAGCTTTGTGACCATTCGGATTTGGCCGAGTGCTCTTCCCACAAGATGTCAGGGTATTTGAAATCTCCCGTGACAACCATGCACTGGGAGTGTGAAGCCTTAGCTAGTTCCCTGGCGAATTCCTGGTCAAGCTCTTGATCCTGGCTAAGAGATCTGTAGAAGACCCCCACCACTGTGACCCCTATGCCTTTTTCGCCACCCATTTTGACACAGAGAGTCTCCAATCTTCCCCCCTGGGTGCTAATGTCAGCTTTCAGGGACGCATATCTTTCCTTGACATAAAGAGCTACCCCACCGCCCCGTTTGTCCACATGATCTCTCCTGTACAAGGTATAGCTATCTATGCCTGTGGCCCAGTCATAGGTGGAGTCCCACCAGGTCTCCGTTATCCTTATGAGATTGTAATCCTTTTGGTTTAGCAGGAGGACCAGTTCCTCCTGTTTGTTCCCCAGGCTCCTGGCATTGGTATACAGGCAAATAAGTGTCCCATTGGGGGTCCTTGCCTTTCCTACAGATTGCTCTGGGGCTGCTGTAGGGGTGGGTTCCCTTGAGTGCCTTAGCCTGCTGGGTTTACAGAAACTGCCCAGTGGGCTTGCAGTGATGGTAATCCCCCGCTCCCCTGGTGGGCTCAGTTTAAAGCCCGGTCGAGTTGATCAGCCAGTCTTGCTAAGAAGAGCCTCCTCCCCAGTGGACTGAGGTGGAGGCCATCTCTTCCCAGTACCCCACTGGGAAAATAGAATATTTTCCCAGGGAAAGTATTTTTTAATTATTTTATGGTACTCCAACAATTTACTGGTTTGATTATTGAAGTCCATAGATAGAAATGAGAGTAGTTGAGAAAAAGTTTCTAGATATATTACGTGGCTGCAGAGCCTTTTTTTGATATTTTTTTGAACAAGAGATATATGTAGTATGGGAGCAAATGCCTTTTCTTGACCTAAGAAAATATCTTTCTGAAGAAATAAAACTTCTGCTAACAAATACTGACTTCCTTTTACTTTTCATTGGCTGTGGTTGTGATATAAATAGATGTAGGTTCTTTTCCCCCCTCCACTAGCAGGCTGGCAGTTTTGAACAGCAAAAGCTGAAGAAGGAACTAATGTACTGAATTAACTGAAAGCTACACATACTAAGGTAGGACAAGTTTGTAATTTTTTTTAGTTCAGTATTTAAGTTGATAAAGATTATTAACAGTAACTAAGGCGCCTCCTACTTTTTCCCCTGTTACTTACAAGAGGTCTTCTAGCTGCTTGAAATATTAGGTGTTTATTAAATAAGGTTCTTTTCTCCTTAAGAAAGGACATCAAGGTGGTTTTCTATAATTACAAATATTTTGAAACATGAAAGATAATAAACTAATGGTAGTTTACCAAAAATCTGAGTGAATGAATTTAATTTTCTTGCTAGGCGCAAAGTACGGATTGTATCAACTAGAATCTTTGTTTACAAAATTACCAATTCATTAAAAGGTGTGCGTGAGGGTGAATAAAATGTCCTGTCTCTGCACAGTTCAGCTTAAATCAATGCTAATTCCAAACCAACAATAAAGGAAAGTAACTGTTTGGCAATTCTCATCCTGAACTGAAATATAACATTCACAGGACAAAGTGAATCAGAGCTTCATTTTTTGTCCAATGTCCGTACATCTGGCTTTCTGACAGGGCAGTAGCTGATGCCTGTAATATAACATAGATAATAACACATTGCTAGTCTAATGGCAAACTTGAAATCCCATAGAAAACTGTTTGGAGAAAAATATATGGTTTAAACAGCAGAGAAGGTATTTTGTATCAAGAAAATCATTTAAAAAGATGTATTATGACAAGTCCTCATTGGTATAGAGAGTTCAGTGTTTCAGAATTTCTGTGCGCTTGCAGGTACATTTAATGTAGCTGGGATTGTGGATGTTCTGCATTTCTTAAAATCAGACTAGAGAATTTGCTTTTTTCATATCTAATATAAATACTGCTGTGTCATAATCTATTTCTCTTAAAATATAACAGAAATATATTTTACATTGTCAGGCTAAGGAATCTTAACCTTGTTTTAGTAGATGGTTGCTTTAAGATCTAGTTCTTTACTTAACTGAGGACTTGAGGTTATAGATTGTTAGGTAATCTTTGTTTTGTGGCTGATTTATGTGTATTTAGTGGGATTGGCCATGCAATTTTCAATATTATTTAATGGTTCCAGGTTAGATTCTGGTCTCATTTCACTGGCATATGTAAGTTACAAATAAAAGAGTATGTTATACTGGTGTGGGTCTGATTCATAGATTATAGAGTCAGAAGGGACCACAATGGATCATCATCGTGTCCAACCCCCTGCCCCTGGCGGGAAAGAAGACTGAGATCAGATGACCCCAGCCAGGTGACTGTCAAGCCTCCTGTTGAAGACCTCCAAGTTAGGTGATAGTACCACCTCTCTTGGAAGCCCATTCCAGATTCTGGCCATGCTTACTGTAAAAAAAATCTTCCTAACATCTAACCTAAATCTACTCTCCGCTAGTTTGTTGATGGCCTCGTTACACTGCCAGCTCATGTTCATCTTGGAGTCAACTATGCCCTTTGTATCATCTGTGAACTTGGAGAGGGTACTCTCCACACCCTTGTCCAAATCGCTGGGGAAGATATTAAATAACACTGGTCCAACGACCGAACCCTGTGGGACCCCTCCGCCCACCTCCTTCCAGGCCGAGAACAACCCATCCACCACCACTCTCTGATGTGACAGGGAGCAGAATCAGGACCCATATTATTAATTTTCCAAAGTGTCTATAACTTTTTATAGACATTTTAATTCATCTAAGTCTGGTTGCCCCCAGGCTGATCTTGCCTGATCCTCAGCTGAATGTCAGAAGCAGGCACAGGCAGTCCCAGGTTCTAGTTTAGGACCAGGAGCTGCCCCAACCTGATTCCTAAGGATCAGCTGGGGATAGCCCCAGGACCCATGGCTGTCTGGATGCACCATAAACGTAACACCTGTGAGAACTCTTGAGGGATCAGTAATTCAAGGAAGATTTTGTGGCTGGTCTCAGCTAAATCACCTAATCTGAAGTGCATTAGCTATTGTGGTGTAGGCCTGGTGTGTATCCCCTCCCCAGTTGGTTCTATGATGAATCTTCACTTCAGCTATAGACAGATATAACAATTTTACTGATATCAAATGCTACTGATATAAACTGCTGTTGCTGTTATGCCTGCATCATTCTGTAGTGATACATGTCATTCAGGGTTAAAGTTATAGAGATTTAGGTAACTTGTATCATTATAGGACCATGTAGATTGGTAATGTAAGGTTACCAAACTGCTGGATTGGTAATGTAATTGAGGGGTTGTGACCAGGGCATCAGCTGATGGCTGTCCACACCCTGCTATCAGTGCTGGCAGTGCAGCCTGATGCTACCCCACATGCCGCATAGTTGCCTTGCTTCACCTCTGAGTTAGATCGCAACAGCTAATGTGTACTCCCAAGCAGCAACTTCCCTTTCCCTTTTAAAAATGTTAAAAAGTACATTTCTCCATGGCAGTATTTGAATCTCCCTATTACTCCTTTCTGTTGTGATCTTATTGGAGATACGCAGCTCTCAGTATCTTGCTGGGTGGTTTTCAGCAAGGTACTAGCCTCACTGTACCTCGGTTCCCTTAGCTTTTATGCTTACCACACAGGCTTAATTCACTCATATTTTTAAAGATACATGACACAAACTTTATAACAGGTTGCAGAACTCTGATTTTAATTTTTTTTTTTTTTTTTTTTTTTTAGAGTCCAGGACTTCTGACCCTAGCAAAATACAATAAATTATTTCTCTTACAACACCTTGGACCATGTTGGATTTCAGAAAAAAGGGAAAATCAGCATCAGCAAACCTGTAAAGGGAAAACGTTTCTGATTTCAGACAGAAGCTTCCTGAAGGTGATTTGATATAAAGAGTAAATGAAACCACTTGACATTGCTTTTATTGCAAATGATTTTTTCTTCTCCATAGGGAATTCTGCCATGACACTTCTCTTCTCGGCTGAGGGAGAGGGTTGCAAATAAGGAGAATCCCTCTATTAGGCTTTCAGCCACTGAAGGCTGGGGCCGCCTGCAGAATAGCATTAGTGGGATTTAAACCTAAATTTAAGTGCTTTCCTGAACAAGGATGCTTTCCTAAACTTAAAACTGAATGAACTGGTGATCCGCTTAACTTTAACAGAAATAGGGTGCAGGCACCCAGGTATGCTTTTCTACACTGTGGTTGCCAATATCCATTCTATATAGGAACTGTCACTGTCTGTGGTGTTGGTAGACATGATTATATTTAGTTTCTAGAGGGGTAATTTCAGAGACAGATATATTTTAAAATAGTTATTTTCTTGAAAAGCTCTTAACAAATTAGGTACTGGATTATAGGAACTAGGACTACTCACAGACCTGTACTCTACCATCAAGACCATGCCTGTCTTTATTGCTGTTATAGTGGGGCAACATTTCCTGGAAGTTTAAACTTCCTAGGCTAAAACTTTCCTCACTTCATCCCTACCCCAAAATAAAAATTTGGGATACAGTGAATCTAAAAATGTTTCAGCAATTCCCAGCATGAATGAATGAAGATACATGGTTCACCATTATTAAATAACAATTCTGTGGTTCTATTTTTTTTAAAAAAACAGTGTTCATGCCAAATCAGTTTGGGATAAAAAACTGTAATTTAGTAAGGAATTAGCCCTTGCCGAGGAAAACATTGTTTTAGTATTCAAGTGATCATTTCTTTTAATTTTAACTGAATTATGCCCTGTTGAAAAACAAAACCCCACCCAGCACATGCACACTGCAATGTCACAAAGCTTACTCATGGGGACAGGTAAAATGTGCAGCTCTGGGACGCAACACTATGAAAGGACAAGTGGTGCTAAAGCAGTGAATGGGAAAAGAGCTCGACATTAAAAGGCACTGGGATGTGTCTGCTCCTTTAAGGGAGCAAGCAGCCTGAGAGACTGCTTGCAGGTGGCAGAGGGGGTCACTCGTCTGACCAGAAGAGGGCTCAGGCTTGAACTATATAAGCCCAGAGCCTGCATCAGTCAGTTAGCCTTGCCCTGGTAGCTATGGAGTGTGGAGCTCAATGATAGCAGAGCAGCAGGACTCCTGACCTGACAGTGGCTCTGAATGAGAAGCTCTGCAAGGCAAAGAACAAGGGAAGGTACCTGGGGCAAAGAAGGGCTTGGTTATATGTGCAGGTGTCCCTGTTTTATGTTAAGCCTAGAGAAGGTTTGAGTGCCTGCTAGAGGGCAGGTGTTCATAGTTTCATAGTTGGTAGGGTCGGAAGGGACCTGAGGAGATCATATAGTCCAACCCCCTGCTGTGGCAGGAAAGAGGGCTGGGGTCAAACGACCCCGGCCAGATGTTCGTCCAGCCTCCTTTTAAAGACCCCCAGGGTAGGAGCCAGCACCACTTCTTTTGGAAGTTCATTATTAAGTTGTCCTACCACTTTAGCCTGGTGCCCTGCAAGGGCAGGCAAGGCTTACTTGGAGGGCCAGCAGCCAATCAGTGGCTAAAAGCGGGGTTCAGTAGGGGGTACAAGGGCCTAGAGAATAGAAGATCTGTGAGCTCCAGGCCTGGGAAGGGCTGAGAGTGTGATCCGTAGGTCCAGGGATAAGCAGGGCTAAGAGAGAGTGAGACCCAAGAAGGTCCAAAGACAGGCTAAGTACCTGAGTGTGGGCTGTGCATGAGACTGGAGGTCCTAGGAACACAGAGAGAGGGGCTGCATATGAGGCCAAGGGTCCAGGAGCCCAGAGAGGGCTGAAGGTGAGACCACGGGGATCCAAGGGCCCAAGTGCATGAACTCAACATTGTAGTGATAATACCTGTAAGGCTTGGGGCATGATGTAGGGGAGGAATGGGGCCCCACAATTTGCCCTTAAGGCTACAGGTGCCCTACAAGAAAGTAGTGAGGCCAAGAGGAACCTATCAGGCCTAGATTGAAGTTAATGGGATCCAGGAGAGGCCCAGTGGGGAACTGTTAGCGTTAAGGTTCACTCTAAGGCCTGTGGGCAGCTTCCCTTAATCAAACGTTAGTAATAAGAACAAGGCATGGCGGGTGAGCAATCTAGGGAGGGTGACATTAAAGTCTGAGTGGGCCAGGAACTGCAAGGCCACCAGGGGGTGTCACAGACACCCTGTTGTGATGAGCCTATCACAACCATGAAAAATACAAAAGGAATGTTTGAAGCAAAAATGTCATTTGTTTTACATTGATTAAAAATGCACATTTTGGATATATTACATGAAAACAAGGACCTATCCTTTCAGTGGCTAAGAACATTTGGACAGCATTCCCATAACTAGAACACACAAGCTGGTGGGAGCATCTTGACCTTTTGTCACAGTTTGGAACAAAAGCAAATATCAGAATTTTCTGAGAGATGGAAACTCCCATTTTTGATCAGCTGTCGATACCCCTACAGTTCCTTGCTTCTGCCATTCTGATTCAAGATCTTCCATCCACAAAATGATCAACATCAGTTTTGCTTTCTTGCCTGATCAGAGAAGATTACAGCTTTAGGTGACCTGTCAGTAGTCACTATATTCGGTTTTCAGAAACTGAAATAAGAGGCATTCTTACATGTGGTGCTGATACAGTGCTGGGGGCTCTTAATTAACGAGCCACACTAATTAAAAGTGCCCAGTGCTGCGTCTGGAGCAGGTGTATCAGTGGCGTAGTGCATGTCAGCGCTCAGAAAATGGCGGCAGTGCACTTTGAACTAAAGCACAACGAATGCGTTTTAGTTCAAAGCGTACCACCGCTATTTTCTCAGCACTGACATGTGCTGCCCCACTGATACACATGATGCACGATACACATTGGATGTCCAGTGTGTCAGAGCAGACTCCCCACATCTGTGTAAGTGCCCAACTTGGCTATCTACTGAAACAGCAAAGACAGTGAGCAGTTATATCAGTCTGCACTTTGAAAGTGCTGTACAAACATTACAGTACATCTATATTTACTGGGACAGAGTGAATAGTTACTAATGTAACCAACTATTATTTTCCCCTGCTGTTTGCAGACTGTATAATTAACATGTAATTATATGTTTATAATGCTGAATTTGGAGATTCAACATTTGCAACAACTGCTTTTTAATTTGGCAGAGACACAGTAAGAATCCTTCCAGATTGTGTCAGTTTCAGAGATGAACGGAACTAACAACACGTCAGGCAACTGTATGATGGATAAGTTCAAGCAGGTTGTTTATCCCACTGCTTATTTGACCATATTCATATTCGGTGTTGTTGGAAATGGCCTTTCCATATATGTTTTCCTACAACCTTGTAAGAGAAAGACCTCAGGGAATATTTTCATGCTGAATTTGGCCATTTCAGACCTCATGTTTGTGTCCACTTTGCCTTTCCGGGCCGCCTATTACCTGATGAAATCTGACTGGATATTTCAAGATGTATTTTGCAGAATTGTGTCCTATATCTTGTATGTCAATATGTACTGCAGCATTTATTTTCTAACCACCCTGAGTGTTGCTCGCTTCATGGTCATTGTCTACCCATTCAAATGTTTCCAAGTAACCAGCACAAAGTATGCCAGGATCATATGTGTGGTAATATGGATTTTTGTGATGGCAAGTAGCAGCCAACTGCTGGGCACTGGAACCACCGTAACGAATTCCTCAACTCAGTGCTTGGATCTCCAACCAAACAATATAGACAAGATCTTTCTGTTAAACAATATTGTCCTGGTAGTCGGCTTCTCCCTGCCATTTTGCACAATCGTTGTGTGCTATGTGTTTGTAATCAAAGCCTTACTTAAGTCCAAGACTCCAAACACTAAGGTAAGAGCCTCTCATAAGAAGGCAAAGTTAACCATCATCCTTACTTTGTTCATATTCTTCCTTTGTTTCTTGCCATATCACATACTAAGAACTGTCCATCTGGTACAGACAAAAAATGGTATTGAAAGCAAGTGTAACTTGCACAAAGGGGTCATCATTACCCTGTGCCTGGCTGCAATGAATAGCTGCCTAGATCCTGTACTCTTCTACTTTGTAGGTGAAAATTTCAAAGCAAGACTCAAAAATATATGTAAGAGGTAGTGAACACAGAATCAAATACACCCATTTCTTACTGGGAAAATTATGTAATAGTTCAGCCACAGAATTGGGAGTTGAAAGACTGAGACACATTTCTCAGCTCTGTCATTAACTTGCCTTGTGCCCTGAGCCCAGATTCTCAAAGGCATCACATTCCTACTTATTTCAATCCATATAACTTGTATATCATTTCAACTGGCCTTAGGTATCTTAAATAAACTCAAAGGTCTGCATCTAAAGTTCTGTTTCCATTTCCTTTTCATTTACATTCTTCTGTGTTAAATTGGGATATTCAAGGTATTGTACTGCTATATTGCCTCCCGACTCTTGTTGATTTTTTTTTAAATTAAGGTTCATATAGGGTTTGAAGACTCTTAAATATAATAGAAATACAAAGTATTATTGATATTAGCTGCCTTTGAAATGTTTTATCCAAAAATCTACATTGAATCTGGCTCTTAAATATGTGTCATACAAACATTTCTATATTTTCCACCATTACAAACCTCTAAGGTATGTTGTTTAATATTTAAATGGATTTTCAAGTTAAACATTGCCTTAAGAGTCCTACAAACAAACCATTTCTGAATGACAGTATTTAAATTCATGTGAGTATTAAAACTTACTCTCCATATTCATGTGAATATATACATGGTCCTTTGTCATTCTTCTTTATATGAATCAATGTTTTTGTGGCCCCTAACATATTTTTATGCTTGGTTTGTCAGCAGTATTTTTAAACTTGTGTATTAAAGTTAGATAAATGAACCTAGAATTAGGAATTCAAGTCAGAATATTAAGTGTATTTAGTGAAAGATATGTGCTGAGTGGGATTTCCAGAAACATTTAATTTCCGCTGATTTCAATGGAAGTAAGGTATCTTGGAAAATCTCAGTAGATGCTTATCTGCATTTTAGGTACTTAAATGCTTCAAAATGCTGGGTGTCTTTATGTACTGTGAATAAGGACACGTAAAGTAGTGTTGCAACACAACATCTTTACTTCTTGCTGTCAATTCCTTCATAAAAAGAAAGGCTCTGTGACAGTTCCGTTTGGGTACCTTTGATGCTGCTGCTGGTGCTACGGGTGTTGAGCCAGCTAAGTTATTTTACCTGTTGTCATGTAAAGTGGTGGACCGGACCTGAGGCTGTAGGGAAGGAGGAGGTCACACTGGGGCACACTGCTGTGTTGTGCAGAGGCCCCAGCGCCAGGAAGGGCGCACCTTTTAACACACACACAGTGTCACCCACCCCCGTCACGAGTTTTGCCTGTTAGAAGCCAGCGGTGCAGAGCCCCAGAAGCCAGACTCCCCCAGCGAGAGACACACACAGCTGGCAGGCTTCGTGGCCTGGCAGGGCCCAGCACCCAGGCCTGCAGTAGATTTCACCCCCCTGTGCCCCAAGACGGATGCAGTCACAGAAGCACCCACCCACATCACGAGTTTTGCCTTTTAGCAGCCAGAGGTGCAGGGCCCCAGAAGCCAGACTCCCCCTGAGTCTATCTTCTTGAAACTTGGCAGGCTTTGTGGCCTCAGCAGGGGCTACTACCCCTGCAGTTTTCAGCGCACTGCACCTTAACACACACAGGGTCATCTATGTCACGAGTTTTGCCTGTCAGCAGTTTGAGGTGCAGTTCCCCCCAAACCCCTGCACCTATCTTCTTGAAACTTGGCAAGCTTTGTGGTCTCACCAGGGGATACCACCCCTGCAGTTTTCAGCCTCCTGTGGTGTAACGCATACATGTGACATGAGTTTTGCTTTCAGAAATTTGGGGTACAATTCCCTCCAAACCCCTGCACCTATCTTCTTGAAACTTGGCAGACTTCATGCTCTTAGCAGAGGCTACCATCCCTGCAAGTTTCATCCAAATTGGACAAAAAATATCAATGTTATAGCTATTTCATTGATTCCCCATTATACCCTATGGCCAGATTGCCAAGGTGGCTCTGAAGCTTCGGAGCTGCTTTGGCCAGATCGAAGCGGGAAACTGATCTGGAGCTCCAGATTGGATCGATGACATCCAAAGCAGCCAGATCCGAAGCTGGATTGAATAACTGCCTACTTGCACAGGCCTAGTAATTATATAAACAAGTACTAAATAACTGTACAGTAACCATTGTTACTGCATAGTAGCGCTGAGGAGCAGCTTTTTCATGACACTTGACTGCGCAGTAGCTTGTGACTACTACACAGTAGCATCGTGTCATGCTTCCTGCCATGCAATGCTACTACATAATAGTCATGGGCTACTGTGCAGTCAGCATCTTGTGTAGCATGAACTGAACTAATGTAGCTGATGTTAACATAGAGTGTAATAGTAGTGAAATGTAACCATGTTAGTCTTGTCCTGTAAGCAACTTGAAAACTCCATTTTGTATCCTTCTGCTTGACATAAATGAATGAAATTTGCATAGCCTTTATGTATGTGTGTGTGTAAAAGGGTGAATGGTGAGACAATGGCATAGAGACGGAAGAAGAAGATTCAACTGTTTACGTAAGCAACAAGGCGCCAAATGTAAGTTACCAACCACTAACTACTAACAAACGCCTGAAGAATCCCTTTGAAGCTCGAAGGCACAAAGGAGATAACAGAAGAAGAAATTCTACCAGACGGGCAACAAAAACACTCCAAGGCTAAGATAAACTGAAGACAAAAGAAGTTCAACTGCAAAAACAGAAGCTGGGTATGGAAAAACCCCAAAGCACTGAAACAAAGGATGCCAATCCCTATAAAAGAACACTTTGAAAATGCCAAGTTGGGTGAATTTCTTTCTCTACTGCTGTTTCATCGGAGCACAGATGCATCTGTTCACCCCGCTCCAGCTGTTATCTTTAAATCTGCTATCTTCACCTCATCATCATCTACTCAATAAGCCCGGGTTGGCCACCCTGGGCTGATATTGAGCAACTATTGCTGGTAACTATATCTGGTGTATGTGTGGATGAAATGGTTGTTTTGTGTATGTGTATGCCTGTGTGTAATGATGTGTATGATGATTTGTGTGTGTTTGTATGAACGGTGTGCCTGAACCTCTATGTCTAACTCATGTAATCAATAAAAGCGGCACTTTGCCTTACCCCCCTTTGTAAAGTCTCACTCGTGATTTGAACAATTGGCAATTTGTGTAACACTTGTGCAGACATGGCCAGTAAGCCCCAAACTGATTTTTAATTAAAAATCCATTTTTGAGGAAAAATCATGAATTTTCTAGATATGATTTCTAATGAAACCAGCCTATCCCATGAAACCTTGAGAAAAAACTGAAAAGGTATAAATCCGTCCAAAATATTATTTCTGTCAGAATATTCTAGCTGAATATTTTCTGGTGCTGCATTCTTGGCATAAATAAAGCACCAGAGATGCTAAAGTTATTACTTTTAAACAAAAAGTAGTGACAATCAGCTAATTTCAGCTCGATTGAAATGCAAGGAAAACAAATCAATATTTGCAGGATAGAAAATATTGTGTACCATATAATTGGTAGACTTGAAAATATTTTTCAGTTGAGGTTTATTTACAGGTGAGGTTGAGGTTTATTTACAGTTTAATAATCGATCTGTCTCAGTCATTTTATGCCTCCAGAAGCCCTTTTCCCCCGTGATTCTCCACATAATGTATATTTGTTTAAAAAACACATATCTCTGTATTTTAAATAAATATATGTTTTTATATTTCCATTGACAGTATCATATTCTGGTCAATAACAACCTAGTAGTCCTCCTAGGTCCTAATCCTGTACAACCTAAGATAATAGGAGTTTTGCCTTTGACTGCAGTAGGAACTGAAGTAGGTCCTTGGACTGTTATCATGGGGGTAGAGACTCAGTTTCATAGTTTGTAGGGTTGGAAGGGACCTGAGCATATCATCAAGTCTGACCCCCTGCCATGGCAGGAAAGAGTACTGGGTCCAAACGCCCCCAGCAAGGTGTTCATCTAGCCTCCTCTTAAAGACCCCCAGGGTAGGAGCCAGCACCACTTCTCTTGGAAGTTGGTTCCAGATCCTAGCTGCCCTGGCAGTGAAGTAGCACCTCCTGATATCTAGTCTAAATCTACCCTCTGCCAGCTTGTGACCGTTATTTCTTGCCACTCCTAGGAGTGCTCGGGGGAACAGGGACTCCCCTGATACCCACTGGTCCCCTCTGACAAGTTTGTAAACAGCCGCTAGATCCCCCCTCAGCCTTCTCTTGTGGAGGCTGAACAGGTTCAGGTCCCTTAGCCTCTCATCATAGGGCTTGCCCTGCTGCCCCCTGATCATGCGAGTGGCCCTCCTCTGGACCCTCTCCATGTTGTCCACATCCCTCCTGAAGTGTGGTGCCCAGAACTGGATGCAGTACTCCAACTGCGGCCTGACCAGTGTCACATAGAGGGGGAGGATCACCTCCTTGGACCTGCTTGAGATGCATCTGTGGATGCATGACAAGGTGCAGTTGGCCTTCCTGACCCCACACTGTCTGCCCATGTTCATTTTGGCATCAATAATGACTTCAAGATCCTTTTCTGCCTGTAGGTATGCTGAAGAAGGGAGTTCCCCAGCCTGTAGGTATGCTGCTGGTTCTTCCTCCCCAGGTGCAGTACCTTGCACTTGTCAGTATTGAAACCCATCCTGTTCTCATCCGCCCATCCCTGTTACCTGTCTAGGTCAGATTGCAGCCTATTCCTCCCTTCTACCGTGCCCACTTCCCCCCACATCTTAGTGTTGTCTGTGAATTTGAACAGCATGCTTTTTACCCCTTCGTCCAAGTCGCTGATGAAGACTCATATAACTGGGATGCTTTTGGGGAACAAGTTCTTATCTGTAGACTTCAAGAGCAATTCTGTGCCTAGATGACTTACTGGATTGGACATGTGAACCATTTGGGAACACATCTACTTGAGCTACAAAATGCTTTGTGAATAGCCTGACTTGGGCATAAAGGATTCCCATCTCCCTCTGAAAAATGGGAGTGCACCTCAACGAAGTTATTAGAAAGGGTGGGAAATCAAATAAACTGAGTGGTCGCGATGACAAAATGTCTGCTTGTGAAATCAAATATCACTGGTTTTACCCAAATGCACATTTTAACAAGTGTAATTCTTGTTGTATTCATATAGAGGGATAAAGAAAGCTTACTCTTTCCATCAGGCTGTGCTCCTGTGTTTAGCAAAGATTATGATGCCATGTAATGTGGTGTTCTAGTGGTTGAAACTATGTTATAAGTCCAGCTGGGAAAGGTGACAGAGTACCTGAAAAAGGACATCCCTTAGGGATAAGAGATGGAACTGCTCAGGATCTGGATTCCTCCATACCTAGAAAACAACTGAGAGTGGGCTGGAATAAGGGGAGGAAGGTAATGCCTAGCAGATAGCTACCTCATCAGCTGCTCACACCTGTGAGAGAACTATGCTGCTGAAGCACCGTGGAGATGGGAGTCTCACCTAATGTTGAAGGGTTGGCTTTCTGAGTTGATACCATTTCCCCTCTTTCACCCATAAACTTATTTTTGTTTTAAGTCCTTGAATGCAGTGCTTGCAAGAAGGAAAATACTGCTTGTCTTGAGCACCCAGCAGTGAACAGGGAGAAGCAAACAGGACAATTTGCAAGCAGTTCACTGAGAGCAAGAGGAGGAAGGGGAAGAGGAACCAGGCACCAGATCCTGCTCTGGGAAGGTAACTGAGCCAGGGTTGCCTGTGTGTTTGGCTTGCTGAGGGCTGTTTGGTGGGTTTGTGTGCCTAGGTGTGTGCTCTGAGCAGCTGAGTGGGCTGATTGCTGATTGACTGCTGCCTGGGTGTGACAAAAGGCCCTAATAAAGGGCGCTAACAAAGGGGCCTAGCTAGTACAGGTCCAGGAGAAAGATATAAGGAGACAGTCCAAGTGACAAGCAAACAGGACAATTTGCAAGCTATTATCTGGTCAGTTTGCTGCCCCTCTCTTTGAAAGGGAGTCTGAATGGTAAGATTCTTTTTTTTTTACATGTAATTATACTGACTAACCTACATAGTTTTAATTTAGCAGCTAAAACTCAGCAGCTAGACCAAGACTTAAGCCCCTTATTTAACAAGA